TAGAAAGGTAGTTCTATAGCCTAGTAGTATAATTCTATCTTAGCTACTATCTTAGTGCAATTCCTTAACTTAGTATTATATAATCGAATATGTCTATTCGGACATATTTAATTATATGCTTTTGCTAAATTTTGGAATGCTTATTATATGCTAAGATGATTTATATATATCTGGAAGTTTAGACTAGTAAGAGGCTTAGTTAGGCTATCTGCAACCATTTCTTTTATTAGAAGGTATTCTATATAAATCTTCTTTTACTACTAAAGTCTTCTTACAAAGTTGTATGCAATATTAATGTGCTTTAACCTTTTATAAACATGTGCATCCTTTATAAGGGTAAGGTAGGCTTAGTTGTCCCTAAAGAGTTAAACTAGCCTAAGCTATTTAGCTATGTCCTTTCCTGCTTTAATTATTAGTTAAAAAGCAGATAATCTAATAAGCTTAGTTTAACCTATTTCTCTAAGYAATRCTAAAAGGAACTATAATTATTTTGYATATGYATTTATTRCTATRAACTTAGCTTCTATTRTAGAAGTTGCTAYAGATTTCTRMTTCTTRCTTATCTATAAAATTAGGGYATTRYAYAACTTAAACATATTTCCTAGRATAGAGATCCTATCTAACTTRTCTATTGCAAAGTCTAAGTCTAAGTACCTAATTAAGYATCTAGATCTAGATCTTATAAAGGTTAATCTAWRGTTAGGAAATAATCTTAGRTACCTTAAGACTTTCTTTAAAGCTTTTAGGTGGGCTTTAGATAGATTACTTAAAAATGCACTTAGCTTTCTAATTGCAAAGGTAATATCTAGTCTTRTTATAATTATTAGCTACATCTATRTTCTAATTRTTATCTAGTATTCCTCCTTACTAYATYTCTTATTATTTAGGCCTAACTTAATAAGTCCCTTATAATTGTCTATTAGTAAGAGAGTTAGCTTTAAGGATTTTAACTTAATGCCTAGTTTCTAAAGACTTTCCTAAATGTAATAGCTTTAATCTAGTTTTAGGGTTCTAAGCTTCCTGTTTCTTATAATGTTTATTCCTAGGATTCTAGATAGTTCTCTAAGATCCTTAATCTTAAAGATCTTTCTAAATTCCTTCTTAAACTAGTTTATAGAGTTTATTAATAGGGCAGCAATTAGAATATTATTAACATATGTTATAACTATAAGATTCTTTCTATAATAGAACATTAGATATAGGTTAACCTCTAACTAAACAAATCCCAAATCTTTAAGCTTTAAAACATAAAGCTAATTCTAGTCTCTAGTAGCTTGCTTTAATCTATATAGGCTTCTTAGGATTTTTAGGACTTAGCTAGGGGGAAGATCTACTCCTTTAGGTAGGGCTATAAAAATGTCTTCTTAGAGGTRACTRTTTRTAAAAGCACTATTAACATCTAYAAGATAGAGTTCCTAGTCTTCCTTAYAGACTATAGCTATAAATGTTCTTAAGGTTTTATGTCTAAYAGTTAGTATAAAAGTCTCCTTAAAGTTAATCCTATATTTCTATAAAAAACCCCTTACTATAAGTYTTGCTTTTAACTTRTTAAGGGCACTACTTGCTAATCTTTTTATAGCAAAGACCTATTTTAAGGTTATAAGGTTTAATCCTTTTAGAGTAATAGTTAGTTCCTAGGTCTAGTTGCTTGCAAGTAAATCTAGTTCCTTCTAGATTACTTCTATCTATATTGCTCTTTATTCTTTATCTCCTACTACTTCCTTATAGGTAGCTAGAACTAGGATATTCTGCTAGTATATAGTTTAGGTAGCTATTRYAGAGAAAGCAAGTTTATAGAARATATCTTRYATTTCTAGGTCCTAGCCTAGTTTAGAGATTATAGCTAATAGGGCCTATATAATCTCTATTACTTCTCTATTAGGATTCTAATCCTTTAGCCTCTCTTAGCTTGTCTCCTAAAGGACTCTCGGTCCTTTAGATTTGCCTTTAAATCCTTCTATATTACTTATAGCTTTTCTCTTTCTTTRCTCTACCTAAGGTAGAGAATTAACTTAGTCCTTAATTTTCTAGAATTCCCCTACATTTGCTAGGGGAGGAGGAATCTAAATAAATGCTATAGGGGCTAACTTTTTAGTTATAGGTTCCTAGATTAGAATAGGTTTAGGTCTTAGTATATTAGCTAGCCTTCTAAGTAGTTTTCTCTGTAGTGCATTTAAGGAAAGATGCTTAGATTAAAACTTTAAATCTAAATTACCCCCCCTCTTTTCCTTAAAGAATACCACGTTTAAGTGCTGTTTTATAGCTCTTATATCTGGATCCTAGAAAAGCTAGGATTTTAATAATCCTTTAACATATCCTATAAATACTGCATCCTTTCCTCTGTTTATAAGTTTATTACTCCTTGCCTATCTAGGTTAGGATTTTAGGTCTATATACATAATAGCTTAGCACTCCTAAACTCTTAGATAATATATAGTTAGCTTAATTCCTATAAATGC